ATGGCTCTTTTTCTTGGAGTCGTCTCCAAGCTCTTTGTATAATTCTCGCATATCCATCTCGAGACTTAGGTTTGTCAACTCCTGAGAATACTATCCCTAAGATTTCAATATCACCGAATAAGAATGTTTCCATACCCGAAGCAGAGAAATCATTACTTAATAAAGATCTAAATATTCAAGATACAAAACTTTCTTCTTCTGAATCTAAATCATCTATTATCTCTTCATCCAATCAGGAACAAAGTGCTATTTCTTCCGAAACAAAAATTCCCTATAATCAAAAGGTTGAAAAGGGTTTAATATGTGAGTTATCTATTACAAAGCAGGCCCGTAGGGGTGAGTTACACTCATGGCTTGAAGAGCCTACATTTATTAACGAGAAAAGCCTTTCGAATTCTATACCTGATAAACAAATTCTTGAAAACATGCTAGATGGAGATGATTCAACTCCAGGTTCCGCATTGCATTTGGCCCATTTATTCGACAGGGCTAAAAAAACTGGCCAGAAAGAAATTTTACGTTGGTATTGTTATAGTGAGGAATTCGAAAAAAAGGTAACAGACATTAGCTTTAAAAACGAACTTAACGATCAAATGGCGAGAACACAGATTTATAATGAAATGGAACCATTTCTTCCTGGCATTAAAAGAGAGTACTTGCGTAAAAAAACTCAAAAGGCTAGAAATGTTTATACATTATTCAAAGAAATAGGAATAGATAAAATCAAACAAGTTACATATAGTGCTGATGTTATTTCTAGTTTAACGGGAGTTCAAATCCAAAATATAATAAAGCTTTTCTCTGAAAAACCTAATGTAAAATTAGTAAACGAGCAAGCTGAATGTCAAAAAGTGATCGGCGTGAAGAATCTTCACGCGCAAACAACCAAACGATCTTGCTCAAATGATATATCAGTCACTAAGGTAAATCTATCTCCCATAGATTTGAAACTCAAGGCGAGTGAAGAAGCCAAAAAAGTATTACCGGAAACTGGGATAGATGTATTACCTTCAGATACAAAAACCAACGTTATTGCTTCACAGCCACAGGCTAAACCACCTGTATCTCGACCTCCTATCTCTATTCTACCCGATGATCCAAAAGAGAAACGAAACCATGTAATTAAAATGGTATTGGAAAAGGTTCCTAATTTATCTCTTAACCATAGTAATAAAAATGTCGATTACTTTATTTGTTTAACATCATGCCGTATATGCAATAAAGTTCATAAAAAGAAAAATTTAGAAGGTGAGTGGGGCAGTGGTGAATTTGTCAATACAAGGACATATCGCCTCAGATGCCGGGAAAATAAATATCAGAATTCAATCCAAATAGTAACAGTGAAAGCATAGACTACTTACTAATTTCGAATAGCGGAGCTAGTGCTAATGCACATATTAGGGTGTTAATATAATTTGATAGCATAATCATTTTTTTCGGATAATCGTTACGCATTATTAGGCATATAATAGAGTATTAAGTCACACCGGGAAATTAATTAGTATACCCAAAATAGATTATGCAAATGTAGATTTATCCACACACCCGAAATAGATTTTATGTGTCAAAAATAGATCATAATATATCCACAGTACACGAGCGATTATACATAAATATCGTCACAAATAAATTCTTTAGAATAACCGCAACTCTCGCTACAGCCCAATATGCATCTCTCCCATTCTCATCGTATATATCACTCGCAAAAATATGACGAATATACACAACTCATCTAATAACCCAGGCCCTATGGGCGCTCTTCGAGCATCCGCACTAAAATTGAATCATATTATTCTAGAGTATATAGTTATTAGGTGGAAGGCTAAATTTAATAGGTAGGTCAAAAACGCTAAAACCGCTAAATATAATATTCTCTATAAGCGATAAATATGTCTGGTTTTGATGTTATAACTATTCTCGATAAGAAAGATAGAACATT